TCTTTCTTAGATCACTACAAGAGTGTCCTAGCCGACCTTCCTGCCAGCACCAGGGCCTCCCTGCACCCAGGCTTCTCTCAGTTACCCAAGCCATGCTTTTGAAACCTGCGTAATCACCAAGCGGCTCCCTCATACAGTCCTCTGACGCTTCCACTGGCAGTCATACTTGAGTGCACATTTGTTAGCTTTCACTGACTTGCTCAGGGCAGGTTCCTAGATTTTTAGCCCATCAGCCTAAAAACTTTTAGTAAATATTCGAAAATTTTACCTGCTTTTTGGAATGCACTTACTGACTCTTGCCTTTTTAGTTCAGAGAGGCTCATAATGGCTCTCTGAGAGAAACTTGGTGAGCATGTCGATTTGGTTGAAACTTAATTTCCAGTTGTAGTGCACCACGGTGGTGCCTTACAGCTGTACCAGGGAGATGGATTTTTGGTTGTGAGTGCTCGACCAATCATTTTCAAGGGCTTGTGGAAAAGTGAAAGGTTAAAGGCACCAAAATAATAAGGAATGAACTGGAATATCTAAAATATCCAACACCAGAGGGCTACTCACAGTAATCTAAATATTTAACAACTGTTAAGCCAGACGTGGTAGCTTACTCCTGCAATCCCAGCACTCATGAGGTTGAGGCAGGAGGATCGTTGCGAGTTCGAGGCCAGCCTGGGCTACAAAGTGAGCCTGAACTACATAGCGAGACCCTATCTCAAAAAGACAAAAAAAAAAAAAAAAAAAATCAGCAATTGTTTAAATTACTTAAATAAAATGTGAGTTAATGGTGGTATATAAGTTATCATTCCCTTTTATAGAAAAAATAGTTATATGTGTGTTAATAAAGATAAAAAATAATTATATGTGTGTTAATAAGGATATACATTAGTAAGGATTTAAAAAAGATATATACTATGGGGTTATCATAGGCTTTCCAAGTGGATGGAAATATAATATTTTTATGTTCTTTTACTTATATGTATGTTCTAATTTTTGAATGATTACATACTATTTTTATAGAAAGTCACACAAAAATTATAGAAGTCCTATTCTTAACCCACTAAAGTTATCAATACTGAAAGAAAAACCACCACTAAAATACTTTTAAACACATTGTTATTTTCACATAATTACTGTACATTAAATCCTGGGTTTTTTTCCAGCCATTTTATGTAATGCCCCATTTCCTTCAACTGAAATGTCCTTCCCCGTCATAGAATTTTTTTTATTTTTATGACTTAAAAGCTCACATTCAGGGCCACCTTCTCTGATAAGCTGCCCTGTACGCTGTATCTGCTCTAGGTCAAGGTCTGTGATAAAGAGAGGCTCACAGGCAAACTCCATCCAACACCTATTTCTGTACAGCTCATGAACTGAGAAGAGTTTTTACTCCTTTAGAAGGGTTTGTTTCTTTAGGATTCCAAATGCTCTGAAGGAAAAAACACTTTCTAATTCAACTTGGTCTCACCAGCATGGAGCAGAGCTTCGTATATTAGGAGCCACTGGATAGATAAACTCCCAAGCGTGTGAGGGGCTCTGCAAGCTCCCTCCTTGCCCTTGAATGGAAGGTGCAGGAGGGTGGTGTTTATGTCCTCAGTTCCCTGTATCTCCTGTGCCAAGAGGAGTACATGATAATGGTAGATATTTTCCACAGGAAACATCTGTGGAAGTTCAATGCATCAATGATAGTAGCATGTTTCTGAGTTTTGTAAGCATTTGAGCATTCCTTAGCTTTTTGTATCATGCTACTTGGTGATTAATGAAAATAGATCCCCCTTTAATAGCTTCACAGAAACAAAGAGATGGTTTTAAGTTAGTCATGAAGGAAATAATTAGGAGGTCTTTTCAAGAGCATATTGATTTACCCGTCTTCAGAGCATCTCAGTATACACATTGCAGCCTGTTATTCTCTTTCTCTCACTCATTGGTAGTAATGACCTCAGGGCAGGTGTTAAATCAAGATCCTGCTGACACTGGGTTATTAAACACCTGTGACCACAGGACCAGTGAAGCAGAGTGAGACTCCACACTCTGGCCCCATTTCTCATCAGGATGAGGTATATTTTCAGACATCAACATGCACATATAAATCATAGTCTAAACACTTCATCTGGTCTTGGCCAGGCTTTCCATGAGTGAGTTGCAAGCTCTTTATAGAAGATGAAGTAATTAGCTTTTCTACCAGTTCTGTGAGTTTGCAGGAAGGATGAACTAGGATCCCTGTCCTATGTTGTAGAAAGACCTCCTGGACCTCGTCAAGGTCTGGATCAGTCACATTTGTAATCCCAGGGAAAAGTTATTAGAATTCCAATACGTAATTCCAGTACACCACTTCCATGCACTCCATGGTGAGAATAAAAACACCCAGGCATATTTATAGTTGTGGGGAGCCAAGGGGGTCCTAAGTCCAGTTAGAACAATGGCTAACCAGAATCAAGGCCTCCGCCCAGGGCTGAACCTTGGTTTTATTAATTCGTGAAGAGGGGAGTGACAGATGAGTGACTGTGAGAATGGCGGGAAGTATATGAGTGCTGGGAGCGGGGCTAGGTAGGAGGAGAGATAGTTCTCTGAAAATGCAGAGAAAGAGATGCAGAAAAAGTGATCTGCATAACACAGTTTGAGGGAGTAGCTAATGCTTTGGGGTCGGTGCTTCAGCTTTGAGGTGTTATCTTCATGCCCTGAGATATCATAGCCTCTTTTCTGGAAGCTCTGTCTCAGCCCACAGTGACATTGTGGCTTCTGCCAGCCTACCTCACACGTACTCCAGGTGTGGTATCACTGACCTGCCCATTGCTTTAAAGACTACACATCAATACTTTGGCTAGACCCATTTGCATTTCTTAAAGCCAATCGAGGGGATAAAGACGAAACTTAGCCAGCTCTGTACATATCAGTATACATGGAAATAGGGCCAGGGTTAGTCAAAATGAAGTCAAATGCTCTTTCAAGAAGAGTCATCCTGGTGTTCTCCACACTATGTTGACTACTGATTGTTACAGTACGCTGTAACTTTGTTCATTCACAGTCCTGGATTCTGCATAACATGTCCTAGGAATGTTTTCCCCTAATGATGAATGTACTCAGTATCTGAGCATATTCTACATGTCTCATTATGGGTATTACAGTATATTGCTTTCTGGATTGAGTGTGAGGGTCTGCATCGTTCTTTAAACTTTCAGTGTCTGGTAAGTGCAATCTGCACTTTCCTAAAGTCAAAGGTAGCCTTTTATAAGGCAAAAGAGAAAATAGGTCCCTTGCCCCTCATTTCCGAGGAAAAGCCCCAGCCAGCCTCTCCTGCCCTGCTCCCTCCTGACAGCACCAGGGTTGGCGGTTCCTTCCCCGCTCAGGAGGCTGTGCACATCCCACGTCTGGGACCCCTGCACGGTCTTATCAGTGACCAGTTACTCAGCAAGCATTTGTTGCTCAGCCTCAGTAGGTGGAGTTGAAGGCCATTTTCCCCTCACTCCATCCCTTTCATATAGAAAAGCCCGGTCCTCATGCACTCAAGGCTCAGGAAAAAGGAAAGCCTTGACTTTCTGTTCTCAACATGCACGTGTGTGCGCAAGCGCGTGCAAACACACACACACACACACAAGCTATGCTTTAAAAATCTAAACTTTCACTTTTTTCTTTGAACAAGAGTGAATGGGGTTATGAACACTAATGGAGAAAGGTGAAACTAGTGAAGTTACATCCAAGGAGATAGCCACCTCCACGGTGGATGGATGGCCTTGGGGACATCTAAGTCTGGGTGCAAGGTGCTACGGGCAGGGATGCACAACAGCCTGGACTTTGCTGTCAGAAATTACCAGTCTTATACATGACCTAAGCCTCCTGCGCCTCAGCTGCTTCTTCTATTGTACGGGGATTGTACCTTTTGAATTTCTGAAACATACATGAGGAAACAGTACAGAAAATGCCGCTCACCTAACTCTGCCCTCACATGGAGCTGGGCATGGACTTAGCTCGTGGGCCTCCGACATCCTCTGTAAGAGATTAGATCACTTCTCATTCAGTACAGGGCTGGCTGAACAATGGAAACAGACCAGAAGAAACAGACCCAAGAGCCACTGGAGAAGTTTTCTAGTGAAATACAATCCCCTTGATTGGAGACAGTCCAAAACTCTGTCCCCAAAGCAAGTAAGTATTGAATAGGTGGCCCAGACTGCTTACCAAGGCTGCCGTTCTAAACTGTAGAACACAAAGGATAAACCGCTAATCACAGTTAATACAAAGGATTTTAGAAGGGCTTTATAGGTTTTGTAAATTAGCACAGGAGCCCCAGGATGAAGTAAAGGTAATCTCTGCTACCTCTTTCTCTTATTTGAATTCACATGTTCCTTCAGTGACAAAAGGTGGAGCAAAAATAATATCTGGGAGTGCAAATTCATGAGCCCATACCCCAGGTGTATTTGTATTGGCATGAGCACAGTTTGTATAAAGCAAAAATCAATTAATTAATTTTAGAAAAGACTGAAACCCATTGGACGAAGGCTTGTTCAGGGAGAGTTTGAAAGGAGATCCAGAGATGCATCTTTAACACTAATCTCAAGGTTACTCTGAATTTGGGGGCTTCCCTTTCAGGCACTTCACTAGGGCTTATATCCTCCTTGCAAGAGACTTTCTCGCCTTCCACTTTTCCCTTCCACAAATAGTTGATTTTAAAAATAAATAAATGTACTGATTTCTGGCTACCTATCAGACTTGTGGAAATGCAGGAGTATGTGAGGCTGTCTGGCTCTAGCATCTATAAATCCAGGATTATGAGAGCCATATCAGAGTCTCTTCCCATCTTTTTACTACCAAAAGAACTTCTTTTTTTTTTTTTTTTTTGTACCGGGAATCAAATTCAGTACCTTGCCAACAGATGCCATGCTGCTGAGCTATATCACTGGCCCCAAAAGAACATTTTTAGGAAATAGTTGTGGATTCCAGGTCTTAAGAAAGAGATCTAGTCAGATTTTCTTGGCCATAGGAAACAAGGAAAGGCAAATGCTAACAATTTAAACTACTTTTGGGTGAAAACATTTTTAATATTCAGAAATATTACATACATACTTGACAGATGTATCAACTCAGAAAAATATTAGTTTGGCTTTTTTAAAAAAGGAAAATAAACCTTCAATCCAAATTTATTAGGATTACAAAAATAACATCACATTTCTATAATTCATTACAGCTCAGAGTCACCAGTACATCCGGAAATACGGAGAGGACCTTTCACCACTCCCTGCCCATAACAATCTCCTGTCATAAAAAAGAAGTTTATTTTCATATTTACAGAAGAAACATGCTGTTGTCTCTTAAAATTCTCTTTGGAATTCCCGGGTTAGGCTAGCTTTAAAGGCAGGGAACATTGCACGTTAAGGAGGGTATTTTAGAACTATCTCACAGCGCATCTCATTAAACACCACTCAACAGTCCTGAGCCCGTCTTCTCCGGACTGTTTTTATCGCAGAGCTTCTGGAACTTCCACCTACAAAAATAGGGGATTTTCTTTCAATGAAGTGACACAAACAGTACCATAAAAAAACAGTAGTGTCTGTCTCTAGCAGGAATTTCTGAGAAAAACTCAGATTATTGCCACATGATATGCCCATTTTATATTATAAATTGGATTGTAAACCACTTAAATTTTCAACAATTTGTAAGTGTAGATTGTACTGTCTGATTTTCTCATTGTAAAAACTGGGTTGTTTACAGTGTCCTGAAAAGGTCTAAACCGTAAGGACTGGGATGCTAGGACAGCCGGAGCACACACCTCTCGTATGGAAATGTGCTCACTCACACACCTGCTCCTAATGTCCCACACTTGCTCTCCCATATTAAAGTATTTGAAATATTAGTGAGCACTTGGAGAAGCAGGAGACTTTGGCACCACCACGCAAGGGAGGCTGGGCTCATCCTTTAAGCCTTCTCCCCAGTGTCTGCTCCGGGTCACTTACCCTCCTGAGCTGTTTTATGCTGCTTCCCCGAATGGCTTCCATGAGGTTCTCATGCGCTGATCTCTGTGGGGTAGAAGGTCGGGAATTGTCTTCCGTTTTCTTCTCTTGCACTGACCTCAGAGAATTTTTTATTTCCTTTAAGATGTTGTTTGGCTGCTTCTTAACCTTTTTTCCTTTTTTCTTTTTCTGTCCATTTTGTAGTGCCCGCTGGGCACTCTCCTGTTGTTTGATGACTTCTGCGATGTTGCGCGTGATGAGCTTTTTCTCTGGCAGTGGAGGAGGAGGAGGAGGTGGAGGAGGAGGCAGCTTTTGCGGAGGGGGAGGGGGAGGAGGAGGAGGGGCCGCAGGAGATAGAGGTCGGTTCCGCACTGTCTGGGCTTTCTTGGGGAGTTTGGGGGATGACCAGGGAGAGTGCTTAGGAGATGCATAAGGGGAAGAGCCTGGTGTTCCTCTTTGCCAGACTTTGGTCCTAAGATTGGCTCCTCCCTCATATCCCTCCTGCTGCCTTTGCTCCTGCATCCGCTTTTGCCTCTGTTTATCCATATTTCTTGTCAAGATGCTGGTCATGCTCATCCTTGGCCCTGGGAGCTCAAAATGATACCCCAGCCTCAGCAGTGTTGTGTTCTCCTTCAGCAGCTTGACGATCTCCATCTCCACCTGGCTGCCCATGATGTGCCTCTGGTTGTGGAAGCGCAGCTCCGTGAGCACTGTGTTGTGCTGCAGAGCCCTCATGATGGCCAGGATGCCCTTGCCAGTGATGAAGTTGGACTCGACGTTCACGCTGGTGATGTGCGCGTTGACCTTGAGCATTTCCGCAATGGCTATGGCTGCACTGTCGTCAGCATGGGTGTTGGCCAGGCTGAACGTCTTGACCACCGTGTTGTCCTTGAGAGCTTCCGCAAAGCGGCTGAGGGTCTGTGTTGTGATGTTCTCTATGTTGTTCAAATTGACCTCTGTGGTGTCCGGGTCATTGTTTTTGATTTTTTCCAAAGCATCCTCAATCACAGTAGGATTTCCACACGGGTGAGGGGCAGCCGGGGACTCTGTGCTCCTCCCACTACTGGCATTAGTCAGGTTTATATTTTCTACTTGACTCCTGAATATCTTTGGCTTAGAGTTTTCAGAATGGACACTATCGCAATTCACAGTTCCATTAATGCCCTTTGGGGTTTCAGTGCTTTCCTCTTCTTCACTGTCCTCTTCCTCCTCTTCCTCCTCTTCCTCCTCTCCCTCCTCTTCCTCTTGGGACTCCTCCTGCTCTTCCTCCGTGTACACGTCCTCGGACACCTCACTGTTACTTTCGGTGAAGATCAGCTCTTCCTCACTCTCCTCTTTGTCTTCCTCTGCAACCTGACGAATGCAATGTCATCGTTAAATTTTCCATGTTTAAGCACATTTTATTTATTTACAGGAGTAACACATAGCAAGTGCCACAGAAACCTAAAGTGACAAAATGGACAATGCTTCTGTTCAAATTCAGGTGACCAAGGTTAACATTTTGCTGCATAACCACCAACAGTTTTTCTACAAACCGTTGCTTGGTACACAGTACCCCGAATTCACCCTGCAGGAGGAAAAGATATCATTGTGTCAATTTAAATAAGTTAGTCAGCTTAATAAGGGTTTAGAAAACCCTTAACACTGTGTTTTTTTTCTTGACCACAGACTTCATGGTACTTAACTTCTCTGTTTAGAAAATACAAACTTTTCTTCTGGAACCATTTCTTTGTCCTTTCTTATTTTTCTGTCCCAAACAAATGACAACAAAAATATATGACATGGCAATTAGTTCCTTTCATTTAATGTTCAAAATCCTTTCCCAAACTTGCCATGCAAAGCAGATGTGAGGGGAGCCGAGGGCTTTCTCCCCCACTTGTCTAAGTATAGACAGAATGCTGGGTGTCATTTGCTCCTGCACATTTGTCCATTTGAGTTCGGTAGTAGAGCCGGCTTCAGGGACTGGGAGACTCCCACTACGCAGGAGCCGCTGCTCAGGACAGCAGGAGGTCAAACTCGCCTCTGGGCTGAAAAACCTCCAGGCTGCCCTTTTCAACAGGCAGCTGGAAACCCCAGGAGCTCAGATAGATGGCAGATCCCCAGGCAGGAGAGAGAATCACCCTTGACACTAGCTGTATTCTGACCATCAGTGTGGAGCAACATAAAGCGGTAGAAAATCTTGAAGCTGGTCACTACCCAGCGTGGTGGTTTTACATTTATTTAGCATGTGTCAATTATGAAAGGCTTTCCCCCAAACACAACTTCATTCTACCTTTGTCTTTGGGTGCTGTACAGAGAAGTCTAGAGACCTCTTTTTTCTCTTTCAGAAATAATAAAAAATCCGGAAAGTGCTTATAGAGTCGAATTTCCCCTGTTGCTATCTTTTTAGTCCTTGCTCTTCCTTCTCTGAGGTCTAGAGCCCGCCCTCTTCCCCAAAGCTCTGATTATACTTTACAGTGGAAAGGGGTTCTTCTGCCTTTTGTTTTTTTTTCCCTCCAAGGGCTGCTACCTGAGGCACATGGGTCAGGCTTTGGAAAACTCTGCACTTGTCTACAGGTTTGTTTGCCCAGTTGCTGTCATGAAATATCTCCCCCTTATCCACTTGTTTGGAGTGGCAGGCCCGAGTGATGGCCTGGGGAAGGGGTCAGCCACTCCTGTGATGCCAGGATGCCTGAGCTTAATTTCCTCACTTCTTCAGGGGCTAGGCGGGAGGGGAGTGTGTGTGTGTGTGTGTGTGTGTGTGTGTGTGAGAGAGAGAGAGAGAGAGACAGAGAGAGAGACAGAGAGAGAGAGAGAGAGAGAGGCATTTGTGGCAGCTGCTTAAGTCATAACCCAACAACATGAAGAAGTTGGGCCCTGTGGTGTTTGCTCCGGGCTCTTTCTTAGAGGGTATCCCCCTCTAAGTGTACTAGAAATATAATATCTGAACCTGTCATTTAGCAAAATGGATCACCATGGAACATCTGTCTCTTCCAGAAAGCCCTCTTTGGCACTCCCCTGAATTGTCCCTGCAATACGTTTCCAAACATTACATCTCCCCAGTAAACCACCTACCGCACTTATTGAAATCATTTCCAATAGATGATTTTTTCCAATTAGATGATTTTTTCCAATTAGATGATTTTTTCCAATAGATGATCCTGCCAAAGGATCATCATTTTTTCCAATAGATGATGAACTGAAGAGAGCGCGATCCCTGTCTGCTTTGCTCACCTTGCCCAGGGGCTGGCATGTAGCAGAGGCTCAACAAATATTTGTTTACTGAATGGATCAAGTTGACATGGGTTAACAGGTGCTGTAGTGGATTAGCTCTAGGACAGAGTACTGATAAGGTCAGATGGGGGTAAGGTGACAAGGGGTCTGGTTTGTTCGCCTGAGGGTTTCCTAAAATGCAGGAGTTTTAGTTCCAAAATCTGGATGGTCCTGGGTAATATAAGATGGCTAGTCCTCTCCAGGGGTGGAGCATCTAGAAGAATATCTGAAGGAGGGAAGGGATCTAGAGAAGAGGCAGGAGGGTGCCTCCTTTGTATTATTTGTGGGGAGCTTGGGGCTCGATCTCCTGCATCCGCTGCTGGAGTCAGTCCTGGTGGTTGGCGGACAGAGGTGGAAAGCAGGGCACAGACACAGGGAGGAGGTGGGAGTGAGGCAGTGACGGAAGTAGTAGGGAGAGGTGAGCACTGGTGCATGTGAAGCATAAACAAGGTGGTCAGAAGGAGGCGGCGGCCATTTCTCCTGATCACCTCCACAGTCATCACATGAGTTAGGAGGTGAGAGGCTTGCTTCTCAGTTCTGCCCTGTTTCTACCCGTAAAGACCTGGCTGGCTTTAGATACATTACTGGGTTTCAAAGAAACTGTGAGAGTTGTCATTCTTAGCTCCTTAATTTTGCCGGGTGTCATAACACCCTGGAGGGCTCCTTAGGCCTCAGACTGGTGGCCCCATTCCCAGAGTTTCTTGCTGAGCAGATGTCGGGGAACCCTGGCGTTCACAGTTCTCAGAGGTTCCCAGGTGCTGCTGAGGGGACTGGCCGAGCAGCTGCAACTTTGAAAAGGATAGCCTTGGGGCTGGGGATTTAGCTCAGCGGCAAAAGCGCCTGCCTGGCAAGCGCAAGGTCGTGAGTTCGGTTCCCGGTACCGGAGAAAAACCGAAAAAAAAAAAAAAAAAAAAAAAAAAGGACAGCCTTCTTGCCACCAGAGCCTCGTTTGACTTTCAGTTCTACCTCTAAGCTGTTAACCTTGAATACATTTCGTAACATTTCCGGTCTGAGTTCTTGTGCGCAGAAAGGTAAGGAGGAAATGAGATAATGAGAGGAGACTTTCACACCTGTGGCTGAGATCCGGCGGCTACGAATGCCGGGGAGCTGGACCCTGGGACTCTACCGTAGCAAACATTTGTGTGGACCCAGGTGAGCAGAAGGCTGTCAGTCAGTAGGTGTTGCACAGAGTCTGATGACACTTCTCAGAGCAGATGCCTGACCACCAAGACCCCAGCTCCTCCACGGTTCCCACTGTGCTGCTCTCCCTGTGTGCGGCGGCCCAGCTCGTCCCCTTTCAGCTGCTCTGATGTTTTTCCCTTGTGGTGGGAATTAATTTACACCCTCCATCAGCAGCCTTCTGCTCAGCACTCCTTGTGACTACAGAGACAGCTGGCCAGTGCAGAAAGTGGAATGGGAGCAAAGCTAACCACCGAGAAAGGAATCAAAGTTCCCCGGCAAGGCAGCCTCTCTAAGTGGTCTGATAAGCCATTGGCAGAGATCTGCAAAACCTTTGGCAGGATCAGCTGGGTCTCATCAACAGCTGACAACAGGCTTTGTCCTTCAGTTCCTGCCATTGTCATGACATTATGACATTAAAATGCCTTTGTGGGGTTACTGCTATGCTAGCTACATGTCTTGGATATGCAGAGACAATTTTATTCTTTACGTGAAGGAAATTCTTCAATAACTGTCATGAAAATATTCTATTTCATCAAACTTTGGACATTCATTCCCACATTTAAAAAAGCTCTTAACATTATGGCTTTGGAGGGATCGACTGGCTTTACTTCTGGATGGTCATGAGTGTCCCTTCTCACTTCCCTTCCAGCTTCCCAGCACAGGCAGTAACCGTGGTGTTGGCACATTCTGGCCTGGTCCCAGTGGCCCTTCCTGCGATGATGGACATGGACAAAGTTCACACATATCTTGCTGCAAATGTGGCCCACACACCTATCATCAAGATCATCTAACAGCACCTAGATTAGGGCAGTAGAAAGCTTGCCACTGGCCTGAAGCCATTTTGTTTTAGGTGATTTCAGTGGAATGCAGGGGTTTTAAATTATTGCTCTTGACCTGTATTCTCCCACAAAGTCAGGACTTTTTTTTTTTTTTTCATATATTAACATTTTACTGTTCAATGATTTTCTCAGAGCACAGTCTTTGAATTTCGTTCTCGGAATGATTCATTTGGAAAATTCAAAACAACTGTTTACTTGGAGTTACACGAGAGCAGCACTCTTCCTAACCTCAGAATCACCATCATATAGACATATAGATCCTTAGAGATCATCTGCATAGGCATACTTAACTGGACCCTCAGATGGCTTTTATCATTTTGAAATTCTGTGCAAAAGTATGTGTATATGTGCACATACGCAATTTTCTTGAGGGCCTAGATTTCATCAAAAGTTCAAAGGGGTTCTTGATACACACACACACACTTTCACACACACACTTTCACACACACAAGTACCCTACTGAACTTCTTTAAAAGAGAGATGGAAAGATAATCCTGAAAGACTGAAAATCTCTTTAAAGTCTAACTTGAAGACAGAACAAGATTAAAACTAAGGCCCCTTGACTGTCAGCCCAGTTATACTTCCTACTACCCTGCACTTCTTCATGTTGGAAACAGAACTATTTTTATTGGAGCCACTATCGCTATGAAAGCAACAAGAAATAAATGTACTTAGCTGAAAAAAAAAAAACATTTCAGAAACAGATACTCTACCACATCACCAGCTTATAGCTCAAATAAGACTTATTTTTGGCAACATATTTAAACTTATGTATACTGGTTTCATATTATTGTCTTCTTGAGGTTCCCATTTTTAGTCAACCATCAAGGCCCCAGCCAAGAAGTTTTACTTATGATTCACTGAGTGATCACAAGAGTTACATGCCTGTTTCAGGGTGAGAAAACTTTCAGTAATGGGTACCAATAAGTTATAAGGAAGTTAAAGTGATGAGGAATGAGAGTTAGAGAAAACAGAGGTGCCTGGGTTTGGGGTGAGGGCTGAGCGGTAGGATTAGCCAAGGAAGTGTCCCAAGAGCCTACCTTTCCACACTCCCCCAGCCTCTCCTTCTCCAGGAGCTTTTGGGACTCCTTTTCCCAGTAGGCCATCAGTGCCTCTCTGCTGAATGTCCCTGTGGGCGTTTTCTCAGTCAGACTCTTTTGCCTTAGCCCCACAGGAAGGCTACGGTCAGGTTCAATGTCTTCTAGCTCCCTCTCCAGCTCCTTCAGCTCCTCAGCTGACAGGGAGGCCAGGAGTTCATCCTCATCAATGGATTCATATTTACTAAGTCCTCTTCGGTAGCCAAAGGTAGACATGGTCCCCGCTTTGTCAGACCAACAGGTGGCTTGAAGAAGCAGGCATTCAAGGCAGCCAGAGGCAGGCAGGGAAGCCAGTGGGCTGGCTGGGCAGCAACTGGTGCCGGGAGTGGCTGCAGTAGCCTTTTAAGCATGGTGATGTAGGGCTGTGACAATGCAGGGAGGGTGAAAGCATGGGCTGTTTTAAGCATCAGACGTCAGCTAGACATTTGAACACAAAGAATGTCACATCGGTGGTGGATGGAGGTCTCAGAAGCAGTGGGGATTATTAACATAGTGGCCAGGGCCATATTTAGCTGAGCCTGATAGCTCATGAGGACAGGCAAAGAGTGTTTCAGATAGAGAGTGATGCGGGTCTTCCTACTTTGTGTTCAAACTACAAGGGAATAAACCTTATTATGAAAATGATTTGCCACTACCCCATGGCCAAGAAAAGATTCTTTCATTATAACCTTAAGGGTTGAGAAATGACTCCACAATACTTAATGGGTAGTTGTTTTGTTCTCCTATAAATGTACCATGGGCAACGTGCATAGAAATAGAGGTGCAATAGCACAGCACTTTATAATTTTATGGTACTTTGCAGCTCCCAAAGCATTTTCATATCATTTTTCCTAGCCATAAATCCTGTGAGATAAATAACATGATCCTCACTACAGATTTTGGCAACTGAGACACAGAGATTAAGTGAGGTATGTGAAGCCGGATAGTAGGCAGGGCAGAAGTATCTTTCTCCACTGCACCAGATAGCTTTCTTTTGCTCCTTTTGCTCCTTTCGCACATTAGTAAAACACTAGATCCTCAACCAGAACATTAATAATAGTACTGGGTAGGACACTGTGCCATCCCAGCGCTAAGCATGTTATATGTTTTATTTCATTCATTCCCACAATCCTTTGAAGTGTTTATTACTGCTCATATTTTACTAGCATAGGCCAAGGGAGATTAGGTAACTAGTTTAGGAGCACAAAGCTAAGAAGTGGTAATGTTGGACTTTGTACCTAAACTGAAAATTAAAGAGATGCTAATCTGTAATCATGCATATATTTCTGACTATGGTAAAATCTATAGATACTTTATGGGATTTCATGATAATGATGAAAGTTTAGCATTTAAATATATAAACATCTATTCCAATGTATATGCCTAGAAATATACATTTATCAATTCATTCATGATATAAGACATTTCATTCAGACACTCAGCTTTTGATGAATATTTATGTTATTTCTAAGATTGGATGATGAATAATTTTGCTAGGAACATTTACACGCATATCTTTGGCCATATGTTTTTATGTGTCTTGGGCAGACATGCAGGAATGGAATTACTGAGTTAGATGATAAAGTCACTTTTAAAGAAACTACCAAGTATTTTCCAAAATGGTTGGACCATTTACACTTTTATCAGCAATAGAAATGAATTCTGATTTTTCTACATCCTTATCTGTTGTTGTTTATATTTCTGCTATAGTTTATATTTCTTTAGTGAGTGTAAAATGATGTTGAACATAACTTATGGTGTTTGTTGGCTATCATGTATCTTCTTTGGCAAAGTTATTCAAGTTTTATGCTTATTTCTAAGTTGAGTTGTCTTTTCATTGAGTTCTGAGAACTTTACATATTCTACACAGAAGTACTTTATCAGAAATATGTTCTAAATATATTTTTCCCATTCTGTGGCTTGTCTTTTAGTGCCTGTTGAATAGCAAAAGTTTTTAATTTTGATGGAGTCTGGTTCACCATTTTTCTTCTATTGTTAGCATTTTGGTGTCATAGTTAAGTCATTTCCTAACCCAAGGGCTCAGAGGTTTACTTTTTATGTTTTAATAGTTTTATAATCTTAGATTTTTATGTTTAGACTTCTTACCCATTTAACTTGATTTGTGTGTGTGTGTGTGTGTGTGTACATAAAGTAAGGATATAACTTTATCTTTTGCATACCAATATCCAATTATCTTCACGCAATTTTTTGAAAAAGCTATTTTCCTGCTGTGGAATCGCCTTAAGATCTTTATGGAAAATTAATTGACTATAAATGTAAGGGTGTATTTCTGAATAATCACTTCTATTTCATTGATCTATCTTTCTATCCATATGGCAATACCACATGGTTGTAATTGCTACAGCTTTGTGGTATGTTTTGATATTAGCAAATGTAAGCCCTCTCATAGCTCTTTTGTAGGAAGGATTTGGCTAAATATTGTGATTTTAACTCATTCTGGTATTCTGCCTCCAATTAACTATGACAGTTTTCAGTGATTTTAATGAGAGAAATAATGACAAGTTCATTATTTTAGATTTATTTTTAAAGACATGATATTTTTCATATTTACAAGGTAAATTATGATATTTTCATTCTTATTTACACTGGATAGTGATCAGCTCAAGGTAACTAGCTTCACTGGCTTTGTTTAGAGCCTGTAGCATAACTTTCATGTAACACGAGTGGAGGCCACCCACTGCTGGCAAGCGAGTGTGACTCTTTAGCAATCACGGTAAGATGTGAAAGCCAAATATAGTAAATGTAATGAGTTATTCAGTTTTATAAAGACATTTTAGACAAAAAGAATAGTTGCAGTCATGTAAAAAACTTCTTTTAAGAGAAAAGAAAATATATACAAATTATAACACAAAGTCATTCTTTTAATAATTATGTATTAGGCAAAAAGACAGGGCGGCTGCTATACAGGTTTTAGGATACATAATTATGTAAACAATGAAGTTTTGTATTTTCTCTTTTATATTCATAATGATATATATGTACTTTTTCATTCTAAAAATTTATTTTTTTATTCTCTTTAATGGTTTGATCAATCTTGCATTCTTACATCTGGTAATCTGGCCAACTTCATTGAAAATCACTCTTTTTTTTTGTTTTGTTTTGGTTTTTCTCCGGTACCAGGAACCGAACTCACGACCTTGCGCTTGCCAGGCAGGCGCTTTGCCGCTGAGCTAAATCCCTGAAAATCAAAATATGTAATAGAAGAGCCACTGCTAATTCTTATCATTTTGTTCTGAAACCCTGTACCATTCTTATTGTTTTGCTTTGTTTTGTCTTTGTCTATGTTGGTGGCATTTTGCTATTGTTCTTTTTTTTATTCTCCTTAAAATAAAAAAGTTTTTTTTTCATTAGGACACGTTTGCAGTACACAGTGTTTAAATTTTAAATTCCTCGAAATTTACTAAACCCACAGCACCTATCAGGTTCTACTTTACTTGCTGGTTTGGAGCAGTGGTCAACACTGACTAGTGTCTTCTTTCGTGGAGCGTGCATTCTAGTTGGGAGATAGCAACAGGAAATAAATAACGTGGGAATACCGAACGTATCAGATGGAAGTTCTGTGGAGAAAACCAGAAAAGAGTACGGGATAAGCAAGAAGGTTGTAGGAGTGATATTTCATACAGGAATATGTCTATAACGAAGTGATCTTTGAAGTAAGGAGACGCTACAGACCTTAGAAGCAGGGGTTTGATACCAATTATAATATACACGTACTGTGTCTACAAAATAATTGCTCAGAGAGTCACCGAGCCACAGGCTGTCAGATTTGAAAGAACCTTTTAAATACATTAATCCTTACTGTCTATAGGTGATTGTCTATTGTTTTCTTGAATATCATCTGTGAAAAAGAGTACAGTCCAAAAATTCACTTCATTGTTGGATGGCTCAGATCTGTAGAAAATCCTTCTTTCTATTCATTTGATACTGGTTGGAAAATCAGCCTATGTTTTCAGTTTTCTCATTGGGGTCACTCAGAATACAGAAAGTCTCATTTGAGTTTCTTTTGCTAAATCTTAGATGTCCCATGAATGACGTGAAAAAGACTCCAAAAGTGGCAGCGTTAGCAAGTTTTGGTTTGGGGCCGCATCACTGAGAAACACACAGCCTCTCGAGGAGGCTTCATGGGGAACAAAGGTCATTTAGAGATCTGGGGACAGTATATTCGCTACAAATCACTCTGCTTATAATAATAAGCATAATTATGCATGATCTTAGTTCATGAAATCTTCCTGTAAGTATTCCCCACAAACTAGATCTGTTGGATAAAAATCGTTGAATAAACAGACTGCCATGACAGTGACTAAAGTTAGATATTGAATAATTTAAATGTCCTTAGAAACTTCTCTATATCAACAGAAAAATCCAAACATATATGTGACCCATATATGTTTGTATTTTGGGATTTTCACTTGGTTACTTTGTGTTTTGTATGGAATGGTTTTTAGAACCAAAAATACTACAAGCCTTTTGAATATTTGCATTTTTTATTTTTAAAATTCACTCTTTTGGGAAAAACAGTTTTTGTAGTTGTTTTTATGTAGGCATCCAGCTTTCTCAACACCCTTTTTTGAAGAGACTGTCCTGTCTCTGCGGTACTTCTTGATTTTCAATTACATACCCTCAGGTAGCCCTCAGTATACTGGAAATTCACTTTTTAACGACAATTGTGTTTTTTCTTTGTCTGTATTTCCATTTTAGTTTCCTCTAGAAACTGTAATTTGTTTGTTCAATACAGCTTTACCAGCTACTCGCTATGACACAGATTTGTGCCGAGAGCTGGACTTACAAACAAAAACAGAAGTCACTCCAGTCTCTCCTCTCAAATGGCTCATCATTACGGGAGAGAACAAACAGCTGACCATAACAGAGCGCAGAGCTGCCCCCAGCCCGTAGCCAGACACCAAGGATAACTGAGCAGAGGAATTGCAGACGAAGACACGGGTGGAATTAGAGAAGCTGCAGAAGCCGAAGCAGCTCTCCAGGCCAGGAGAAGGCCTCTGAGCAAACTCACAGGTGTGTGAAGACAAAAACCAAACCTGGACTTTGACATGGGAGTAGGGGAGAAGGTGAAAACGAGGCAGAAACTGCCCCTGACTCACACACTGCTGGGAAGTTATCGCTCCAGGGTGTCTCGCTCCTATTCTGCCTTTTAAGAGCCACCAGCGTTATGCCCTGCACATGGTTAAGTGCTAAATTTACAAATGTTAAATATTGGATGTGAAGGGCTCTTAAACCATGTCAAGGAGTTTTGGACTTTATTATTGTCTACCATTAAGTGACTATCTAACGTCATTCCCACAGCCCCCATCCATAGCAATCGTTGCCTGACAGACACCTCGTCCCCCCGGCAAGTCCTGTATCGTG